TGGGAAAGGGGGGGGGGTGAGGGGGGGAAGGGTTTTTAAAGGGGGATCAGGAAGAAAGCTTAAAGGGGGGAGGGGGGTGATGCTGGAAAGGGAGAAGAAATATGCTTTTGAATAATTTGATGTCCTTGATGTTAAGAACGGCAGGAGTGATGCAGTTAAGCGATAAAAAGGAAGTGAAAGGGAGAGGAAACTCGAGGTTGGGGTGGGGGGTGGGGGGGTAATATTGAGAGCAGAGAATAAGAAGTAAAATGGAGTTGGAAGAAAGGAAGAGGAAGAGGAAAGGACGGTAGAGGAGAAACGAGAAAAAAGAGAAACTGTAGAAATACTGTAAAAGAAAATAATAAAAAAAAAACGAAAACACGAGGAAATTCAAGAACAACCATGGTACGAGGATCATAAGAAAATAAAAAGAAACATAAATAGACGAAGAAGGAGAATAAAAGACGAAAATAGAAACCCGAAAATGCGAAGAAGAATGACTAAGAAACGTGAAATCTTGCAAGACGGGAAGAGTAAGATTAAGACAGATCCCGAGAAAGAAGGCAAAGGCACCTAAAAAAAAGGAAGGGAATGATTTTTTACATTTTTTTTTATATTATTATTATTTAATATTCATTTTTATTTTTACTTTTATCAAAATATAAGCTCTCAGGTGCCCAATGGTGTCCGCAAACGACCGAACGAGCAAACAAGGAAACTGCCAGTTGGCGCTAACAACCCATTATCATTGTTGGACACTTGGTATATTTTAATTCCGTTTTTAATTGAGTTAATAAGAATAAGAAGCATGAGAGGAGGAGAAAGAAAGAGAGATAATATAGATGCGAGGAATGGGAAGAGAAGGAAGGAGGATTAAGGTGAGGGTAACAAGGAAAGGAGAAATATGTGAGGAAAATGGGAGAGGGAGAAGGAAAGAAAAGGAAAGAAATGGAGAAACGTGTAATAAAAAATGAAAAAAAGGGAGAAGAGAAAATGATGAAGGAAAGGAGAAAAGGAATCATAAAAAAAATATGTAATTATTCTATATATTGTATTAAAAAAGGACAGTGAATATAATCATGTAATAGATAAATGAAGGGAGAGAGAGAGAGAAAGAGAAGGACGGAAAAGGGGAGAGATAAGACGTAAAAGAAAACAGAAGGTGCAAGAAATAACAGGAAGAAAATGATAGTAGAAATGGAAAATAAGATTAAGATAATTTATGAACTACTTTAAAGAAACCGACAAACCCAACACACAACAAAAAAAATATAATAAAATAAATAAATAAATAATAATCCTAAAAAAAATCCCCAGCAGCCGAGGCCAAAAACATACTAAAAGAAAAAAAAAGGGACACAGGAAAGTGCGTCACGTAACGAATGGAAGCGAAGAGAGGAAGAGAGAAAGGGAGGATTAGCTTTGATGAAAGAAACTTGCAGACACACGAACCCAGCGGCTTTGAGCGGCCGGGAGACGAGGCCGAGAAATGCCAACGCGGCGAAGAAGGTCCGGCGCCAGGGAAAGCGATTTTATTTAGTTGGTAGTTTTGTTGTTGTTGTTGTTATTTATGTTGTTGTTGGGTAAGTTGTTGTTGATAATGCTGTTTATTAGTTGTTATTGGTTTTATCATTATTGTTTTTGTTGTGTTTATTTTTATTACTATTATTTAATATTATTTATTATTATTGTTTATTATTATTATTATTATCTTTATTATTATTATTATTATTATTATTATTATCTTTATTGTTATTATTATTATTATTTTTATCTTTATTGTTATTTTATTATTATTATTATTATTATTGTTATCATTATTATTATTATTGTTATTATTATTATTATTATTATTATCATTTTTATTATTATTATGAGTAGTAGTAGTAGTGGTATTGATGATTATTATCATCATTGTCATATTAATATTATCATCATTATTGTCATTATTATGAATAGAATTATTATAATAGTTGGTGTTGTTACTAATATCAGTTATTATTATTATCATTATTATTGTTGTTATTGTTATGGCTGTTACTTTTATCATTACCATTATCAATATTATTACTGTCATCATTATCTTTATTATAATTACGGTATTATTATTAATATCATTATTATCACCACTACCATCATATTATTCTTATCTTCATCATTATCATTACCATTATTAACATTATTATATATTCACTCACAAGCGTGTAAATATTATCATATAAAAGAGAGAGAGAGAAAAAAAGAGGAGAAACTCATCTCAAGAAGCGAAAGGAAAATGAAAAACAAACAAAAAACAAAGAAAGACGGTGAAAGGAAAAAAGGAAAGAAAGAAATGAAAAGTGAAAGAAGAAAAAAAAAGAAAAAAAGAAAAACGAAACGAAGCGAGTTCATACACATCGAAAAGAAGGGGGGAAAGGAAAGAGTAAAAAAAAAAAAAATCCCCAGCAGCCGAGGCCAAAAACATGCTAAAAGAAAAAAAAAAAGGACACAGGAAAGTGCGTCACGTAACGAATGGAAGCGAAGAGAGGAAGAGAGAAAGGGAGGATTAGCTTTGATGAAAGAAACTTGCAGACACACGAACCCAGCGGCTTTGAGCGGCCGGGAGACGAGGCCGAGAAATGCCAACGCGGCGAAGAAGGTCCGGCGCCAGGGAAAGCGATTTTATTTAGTTGGTAGTTTTGTTGTTGTTGTTGTTATTTATGTTGTTGTTGGGTAAGTTGTTGTTGATAATGCTGTTTATTAGTTGTTATTGGTTTTATCATTATTGTTTTTGTTGTGTTTATTTTTATTACTATTATTTAATATTATTTATTATTATTATTTATTATTATTATTATTATCTTTATTATTATTATTATTATTATTATTATTATCTTTATTGTTATTATTATTATTATTTTTATCTTTATTGTTATTTTATTATTATTATTATTATTGTTATCATTATTATTATTATTGTTATTATTATTATTATTATTATTATCATTTTTATTATTATTATGAGTAGTAGTAGTAGTGGTATTGATGATTATTATCATCATTGTCATATTAATATTATCATCATTATTGTCATTATTATGAATAGAATTATTATAATAGTTGGTGTTGTTACTAATATCAGTTATTATTATTATCATTATTATTGTTGTTATTGTTATGGCTGTTACTTTTATCATTACCATTATCAATATTATTACTGTCATCATTATCTTTATTATAATTACGGTATTATTATTAATATCATTATTATCACCACTACCATCATATTATTCTTATTTTCATCATTATCATTACCATTATTAACATTATTATATATTCACTCACAAGCGTGTAAATATTATCATATAAAAGAGAGAGAGAGAAAAAAAGAGGAGAAACTCATCTCAAGAAGCGAAAGGAAAATGAAAAACAAACAAAAAACAAAGAAAGACGGTGAAAGGAAAAAAGGAAAGAAAGAAATGAAAAGTGAAAGAAAAAAAAAAGAAAAAAAGAAAAACGAAACGAAGCGAGTTCATACACATCGAAAAGAAGGGGGGAAAGGAAAGAGTAAAAAAAAAAAAAGCGAGGCGAGATGAGGAGAGAGAGAGACGAGGAAGAGGACAAAAGAGAACGCGGAGGAGAGACGAAAGAGGAGGGGGGGGTGGGGGGGGGGGAGGGAGGGGGAGAGAGAGAGGTAACGAGCGAAAAGCGGCTTTCCAAACGCACTCGCTCAAGTCTAGCAAACAGCCGCGGTAAACATCGTCTTTTGTTGAGCGGAGGCCAGGCTTGTTTGGGGGACCGCCCGCTTCAGACGCCACGCCCGCACGCCCGCCCGTCTGCCCTCCACGCCCGCCCAGCCTTACACCCGCCCAGACACCACGCCCGTCTGCCCTCTACGCCCGCCAAGCCCTACGCCCGCACGCCCGCCTTCCCTCCACGCCCGCCAAGCCCTACGCCCGCACGCCCGCCTTCCCTCCACGCCCGCCCGCCGTCCACCCGTCTACTTTCTACTACTTCTTTTTCTTCTTCTCTTTCTATTTCTACTTTTTCTCCAGCTTTTTTAGTTCTTCCTCTTCGTATTTTTTCTTTTTCGTCTTCGTCTTCATTCTTCTCTTTCTAATTCTGTTTTCTTCTCCTTTTTTTCTTCTTCGTTTTCTTCTGCTTCTGCCTTTTCTTCTATTTGTCCTCCTCTTTTCCCTCCTCCTCTTCCTCCTCCTCTTCCTCCTCCTCTTCCTCCTCCTCCTCCTCCTCCTCCTCCTCTTCCTCTTCCGCTTCTTCATCCTCCTCCTTTTTCTCTTCCTTAAATTTTTCTTAATCTTCATCATTATTTTCATCCTCATCTTCTTCATCTTCAACTTCATCTTCGTTTTTCTTCGTTTCCTTATTTCCTGTTATTCTATTTTTCTTATATGTTTTTTTTTTCTTTCCCTATTTTTTGGTTTTCATTCTGTTGTTGCTTTTCCTTTTTGTTTGTTTGTTTGCTTCTATTGTTTTTGCTTCTTGATTATTTAATTTTCATTATCTTCTTTGTGTTTTTATTTGGTTTAATCGTCTTCCCTTTTTCTTTTTCCTTTTTTTTTTATTCTTTTCCATTTTCTTTTATTTTTTCATTTTCTTGTATTTGATAATTTCCGCTGCTTACCACTTTCATTTCCTATGTGTTGTTATTTATTTGTTTATTTTTTTTTATTTTTTTATTTTTTTTATCTACCAATGATATTGCTACAACTTTTACTACAATTAACGCTATAACCACTACAACAACTACCACTTATAACGTCATGATTATTACTACTGCTACTGCTGATAATAGTAATAATAATGATGATAGTGATGATAATGATAATGGTAATGATGATAATGATAATGCTGCAACTCTGTTATTATCATTACTACAATTACCGTCATTATAAACATTATAAACCATTCCATCCATACTCCATACTTTCACCATACCACCACTAAACAAAGCCCCCAAACACCACAATACTACCACACTGCCACCATACCACACCACACCATATTTCCACCACAATACCACCATGCACTGTACTTCACCACACCACACCATATTTCACCACACTGCCACCACACCACACCATATTTCCAGCACAATACCACCATGCCGCTACCACACCATATATCCACTACAATACTACTATGCTGCTATCACACCGCACCATACACCATACTTCTACCACAGTGCCACAATACACTATACTTCACCACACTGCCACCATATATCCACCACAGTACCACCGTACGACTACCACACCACGCCACACCGCACCATACACCATACTTCTACCACAGTGCCACCATATATCCACCACACTGCCACCACACCATACACCATACTTCTACCACAGTGCCACCATATATCCACCACACTGCCACCACACCATACACCATACTTCTACCACAGTGCCACCATACCGCCACCACACTGCCACCACACCATACACCATACTTCTACCACAGTGCCACCATACCGCCACCACACTGCCACCACACCATACACCATACTTCTACCACAGTGCCACCATACCGCCACCACACTGCCACCACACCATACACCATACTTCTACCACAGTGCCACCATATATCCACCACACTGCCACCACACCATACACCATACTTCTACCACAGTGCCACCATATATCCACCACACTGCCACCACACCATACACCATACTTCTACCACAGTGCCACCATACCGCCACCACACTGCCACCACACCATACACCATACTTCTACCACAGTGCCACCATACCGCCACCACACTGCCACCACACCATACACCATACTTCTACCACAGTGCCACCATACCGCCACCACACGCGGCCACCAATTCCTGCCCAGCTCATTACCAGCGCGGGGGGGGGGAGCCAGACGGGTCAAGATGGTGCGATGGGCGTGGCCTAATGGGTGTGGGGGGGAGGGGGGAAGGGGAATGGAAAGAAAGGAAAGGGATAGGGGTTTGGGGTAATGGGTAAGGGGAGGGGGGGAGCGTGCGGGGAGATAAGGGGGGAGGGAGCGGGGTGGGGGAGTTAGGACAGGGGGAGGGGAGGTGGGTGGGGAAGTGTATGGAGGGGAAGGGGAAGGGTAGATAGGGGTTGAGGTAAAGGGGGGAGGGGAGGTGTGTGGAGGGAAGGGAGATTGAGGTATGGGTAAGGGAAGGAGGAGGGAAAGGTAGGAGGGGATGTGTAAGGGAAGGAAAGGGGAAAGATAGAAATAGTGTGGAGGGAAGGAGGGGGTTGGTTACCTTAGTGTTAGGGAAAAAGGGGGGGGGAGGGAGGAGGGGTGAGAAGAGAGAGAGTAGGGGGGGAGGGAGGAGGGGTGAGAAGAGAGAGAGTAGGGGGGGGAGGGTGGAGGGGGGAGAAGAGAGAGAGTAGGGGGGAAGGGAGGAGGGGGGAGAAGAGAGAGTAGGGGGGGGGGGAGGGAGGAGAAGAGATGAAGGGTTGGAAAAATTGGGAGAGAGAGAGGAAGCAAGGGGAAGAGTGAGGGGGAGGGGAGGGGAGGGGAGGGGAAGGAACGGGAATGGGGTGGAAGGAGGGGGGAGGGGAGGGGAAGGGGGGGGACGGTGAAGTTACAGCTATTGATTCCATGACACCAACTCGTGATGGGAGTTGGGGAAGGGGGGGAGGGAGGGAGGGGGGAGGACCTCCTGTGGGGGTGTTGTGGAAGGGGAAGCAGCTTATTGTGGGGGTTGAGGGGAAGGGTTGGGGTTTCTGGTTGGGGATGCGTTCTAGGGGAGGGGGGAGAAAAATTTGCGTGCGTGTTTGTGTGTGTGTGTGTGTGTGTGTGTGTGTGTGTGTGTGTGTGTGTGTCTGTGTGTCTGTGTCTGTATTTATGTGCGTGTGTACATGTTTCTTATAAAGATAGATAGATACAGATATAGGTATATATAGATAGATAGATAGATAGATATGCATATGGATGAATGGATATAAATTTACATGTGTATATGTATGTGTGTTTGTTCTTATATCTATAAGCTTGCCATCAATCTGACATATAATTAGAGGGAGAAAAAGACGAAACAGACATAGAAACGGACAGAAGGAAAGACATACAGACAAACAGACAGATAGATAGGTAATAGAGACATAGAAACAGAAAGACAGAAAGACTAATAAATACAGACAGACAGAAAGACAGACACAGACATTAAAAGACAGACAGAAACAGACAGATAGAAAGGTAGACACAGACATAGAAACAGACAGACAAAAAAACACAAACAGACAGGCACAGACATAGAAACAGTGACAGAAAGACATCCAGCCAGCCAGACACAGACATAGAAACAGACAGCCACAGACAGACACGAAGAGGGACGAAAGAAAATCCTGAAGGAAGTTAGTTTAATGAGAAGAGGAAATAGCTAAATTAAAAGTTGGTTGACCGGAAATGAATTTTCAAAAAAATCGATAAAAAGGGGTCGGATTTCTGTACATCCAGAAGAGAAGAAAGGAAGAGCGGAATAAGAAGAAATGAGAAAGGGGGAAGAGAGGCAGGCAGAGAGACAGATGGATGGATGGATAGATAGACAGACAGACAGCCACACAAATAGACAGCCACACACAAATAGACACACACACACAAATAGACAGACACACACAAATAGACAGGCACACACACATACAGACACACATTTAGACAGACACACAAATATACAGACAGACAGATAAACAGACAGACAGAGAGGGATCGATATATAGATTAGAGGAATCGACATAAAAACAAACAAATAACGAAAAGAAAGCGAGAGGACAGAAAAAAAGAGAGAGAAAAAGAAGAAGAAGAAAAGAGAGAGAGAAAAAAACACACACACATTATGAAGACAAAGAAGGGAGAGATAATAAAGATAAGGACAAAGGATTTTCAAAACATCAAAGACCGAAGGAACAGTTAAGAAGCCTCTCTATCTCTCTCTCTCTCTCTCTCTCTCTCTCTCTCTCTCTCTCTCTCTCTTTGGCTTCGTCGCCTCCTCTTTGCCTCTTGCTTTTGACCCCTCTCGCTTTCTCTCTCTCTTTCGCTTTCTCTTTGGGTTTTGTGTTCTCTTTTTTTTCTCTTTTTTTTTTTTTTGTTATTTCTTTCTTCTCTTCCTCATTGTTTTCTCTCTTTTTTCTCTCTCTCATTTTCTTTTTCTTTCTCGCATTCTGTTTTTCTCTTTCTCTGTTTTTATTTTTTTCTGTCTCTTTCTCCGCGTGTGTAACCTCCCCCCCCGCCCCTCTCTCTCTCTCTCTCTCTCTCTCTCTCTCTCTCTCTCTCTCTCTCTCTCTCTCTCTCTCTCCTCTCTCTCTCTCTCTCTCTCTCTCTCTCTCTCTCTTTCTCTCTCTCTCTCTCTCTCTCTCTGTCTCTCTCTCTCTCCTTTGTCTCTCTCTCTTTCTCTTTCTCCCTCCTTTCTCTCTCTCTCTCTCTCTCTCTCTCCTTTTTCTCTCTCTCTTCACCTCCTCCCTCCCTCCCTCTCCCTCTCTCACCTCCCTCCCTCCCTCCTTCCCTCCCTCTCCCTCTCTCTCTTCTTTTTCTTGTTCGTCCTCTTCTTCACTCTTATCCATTTTCTCTTTTGTTCATGAATTCTGTGTTTTACGTCTTCCATCGTAAAGATTCTATATCATTATTATATAAACATTATTCCCTTTTCTATTTGTGTGTTTTGTTTATGTATCGATTCGTATGTTTATTGATATATTATCATCTTATTTATTGCATTTTCTATTCACATATTTATTCATATATTATTATTTTATGTATTGATTTTTTTTAAAATTCATATATTCACAAATTTTATTTTATATATTATATATTTTCTCATATGTTTATTTATGTATTATTTAATTAATCAATTATTATTTTTCTTGTTTTTTTCTGTTGGGGGGGGAGGGGGGAGGGGGGAGGGGGGAGGGGGATGATTTGCATACGATATCCAGTAACCTGATAAGTGCCGAGTCCTATTTCTAACACGGATTGCATTATGCATATGTTATTAACGCCCACATTGCACAAGTTTCAAAAACTGGAGCGCAAGAATTCCACGAAGTACTGGCAGCGCAATTGCATTATTGAGATTGGGAGTGATAAACTGTTCTTTTATGAAATGTCAAGCGTGGAAGTGCTATTGGCTGGGGCTGCTTTGCTTCTAGACTTTGCAAGTGCAGGTTGATTTTCATAGCTCTTGGAGTTGGGTGTTTTGTTTATTTATTTATTTCTCTTTTTCTTTCTTTCTTTCTTTTTTATTTCTTTCTCTTTGTCTCTCTCTCTCCCTCTCTTTCTTTCTCTTTCTCCCTCTCTCTCTCTCTCTCTATCTATCTATCTATCTATCTATCTATCTATCTCTTTCTCTCTTCTCTCTCTTCTCTCTCTCTCTCTCTCTCTCTCTCTCTCTCTCTCTCTCTCTCTCCTCTCTCTCTCTCTCTCTCTCTCTCTCTCTCTCTCTCTCTCTCATCTCTCTTCTCTCTTCTCTCTCATATCTCTCTTCTCTCTCTTCTCTCTCTCTTCTCTTCTCTTCTTTTCTCTTCTTTTCTCTTCTTTTCTCTTCTCTCTCTCTCTCTCTCTCTCTCTCTCTCTCTCTCTCTCTCTCTCTCTCTCTCTCTCTCTCTCTCTCTCTCTCTCTCTCTCTCTCTCTCCCTCTTCCTCCCCCTCTTCCCCTTCCTCCCCCGCTTCCCCTCCCCTCCCCCTCTTCCTCTTCCTCCTCTCTTTCCTCCTCCTCCCTCTCTTCCTCCCCCTCTTCCTCTTCCTCCTCTCTTTCCTCCTCCTCCCCTTCTTTCTCCTCCTCTTCCTCTTCCTCCCTCTCTTCCTCTTTTAGTGACTACACACACACACGCACACAAATACACGCCCACTCCTATATGTACATAGGCGCGCGTTTCTCCCTAATTAGTCCGGCCTCCCAGTATGTCATCTCCTCCTCTCAGAAGCTCTCAGCATCTTTCAGCATCCTCATCTTCTGTTTCGTCACGGCGAGAGTTGACAGCAGTCATCGCTCGCTTTTCAGTTCCCCTTTTTTAGCCCTTCTCTCTCTCTCCGTCCCCCCCCCCCTCCCCGTGTTCGTTTTTTGGTGCACTGCTGCTTCCTCTCTCACTTCTTGTTATTATTCTTGTTATTATTCTTATTCTTTGTTGTCTTTTTCTTTTTCTTATTCTTGTTTTTTTTATTTATTTTTTCTTCATTTTTTCCTTCTTCTCCTCCTCCTCCTCTTCCTCCATTTTCTTCTTCTCCTCTTCTCCTTCTCCTTTCTGGTGCCGTAACTCCCTCCTCCTCTGCCCTCTTCTCCTTCCCCATTCCCCCTCCCCCCCATTCCCCCTCCTTCCATTCCCCCTCCTTCCATTCCCCCTCTCCCCCTCTACTTAGAAAGCTGTCGTCCTCTTCCCTACTTCATAATTAAATGATGTGGTAAAATTCATCAAACGAATAAGCTCTCTCTCTCCTCTTCTTTTCCTTTTCCTTCCTCTTCATTTTCCATCCTCCTCTCCCTTCTTCTCCCTCTCTCTTCCCCTTCCTTCCTTCCTCATATTTCTTCTCCCCTTTCCTTCCCTTCTCTCTCCCTCTCCACCTTTCTTCCCCTCCTCTCACCCTTTTCTCCTTCGTTTCTCCCTTCCTCTTCCTTCCTCTCCCCCTTCCCCCCCTCTTCCTTTCCCCCCTTCCCCCTTCTTCCTCAAACCCCCCCACCCCTCTCTCTTCCTCTACCCCCTCCCCCCTCTTCCTCTACCCCCCCAACTCCTCTCTCCACCCCCCAACTCCTCTCTCCACCCCCCACCCCTCTCTCTTCCTCTACCCCCTCCCCCCTCTTCCTCTACCCCCCCAACTCCTCTCTCCACCCCCCCACCCCTCTCTCTTTCTCTACCCCCTTCCCCCTAACTCCTCTCCACCCCCCCACCCCTCTCTCTTCCTCTACCCCCTTCCCCCTCACTCCTCTCCAC